AAAAAAGTCTTGATTTGCTATACTCATTATCATCATCTTCCTTATTTATCACTTCTTTATCACCCGCCTTGCCTCGGTTTACACATTCTCGGAGAAAGGAGAAAAAATCTGATTATCTTCCCGACGGTCTTTGATATGCTAATAGATTAATTACATTAATAAAACATCTGATATCCACGCCTCGCCTCGCACGACAGGAAGAATATAATTACCTAATTTATTACCCTTATTCTTTTTTCGTTCCTTTTCACGCTTTTTGGGCACTTTATCAATTTTCCCGCCAAAAAGAGAAGTCTAATGGCGGCCAAGCATTCCATTCCAATTTTCTCCCTCAAGGTCGACTTCTCGCGTAATGCCATCCGACGCCTCAACAAGGACGTCTTAGAAGGTCTCGAGGACGACCTGCTGGACCTCCGCCTCGACCACAACCTCCTCGGGAACAGCTACAACCCGATCTTCGCCTCACAAGAAATCGCCAAGCTGACGGCCCTGCAGGTGAGAAATGGCGCTCTGTGATTGGTCGGTTGCAGCTTCGTTCTCGACGCTGGTTGGTCAGCCGATGCGGAAGAACGCACGCGATTGGCTGGTTCCGAGGGAGAGATAAAAGGGACTTTGAGATTGTTTAGTAATCACTAAGAAGAAAAAAAATATTGAACATTTATTAATCAGTGGGCTAAAAAAAAGAAAAAGAAGAAAATCATATATATCTATCTCTATCTCTGCCTATTTATCTATCTACCTACCTCTCTATCTATGTAATCTAACTGTCTCTCTCTCTCTCTGTCTCTCTACCTATCTATATTTATATCTACCTATCTATCTATCTTTTTGTCTATCTATCTACCTATCTACCTACCTACCAACCTACCTATCTAATCTATCTACCTATCTGTCTGTTTATCTATCTATCTATCTATCTATCTACCTATCTGTCTATCTACCTACCTACCTACCTAACTATCTAATCTATCTATCAATCTACCTACCTACCTATCTAATCTATCTATCTATCTATCTATCAGTCTACCTATCTATCTATCTATTTATATAACTCAATGCACAGAAATCGTCTTGCAGCATCCCGCCGCAGCAGCAGTTTGCTTGCCATAAATCCGAGAATAATAACTTGTCCGAATGACTGTCAGACAATGACGTGTTCGGATGAGCTCGGCGCACTTCCTTATATGGATCTGGCGATGACTTGGTCCGCTATTATGAGCCGTAATTACTAATAACCGAGTTGATTATTCTCTATGACCCATCGAGCCCAAGGTCATATTTTTTCTGGTGTAATGAGGTTGTTAATGGAATATTGGCAATAAAAGGGAATGATAAGATGATATTCCTGTTATGGTTTCTTCCTTGTTCTGATTATTCTTCGGTTTCTCTCTTGTGTTTTACTTATTTCTTCTTAGTCTCGTGCTCCCTTCTTCTCCGCTTGTTTCATGTCTTAATTCTTCATCTTTTTTTTTATTTTTCTTTCGCGTCTTTCTTCTTCTTCCTTTCGCCTCTTCTCCTCTTCTTTCCCTGCTTTCTCATTTCTTTCTTTCTCTTCATGTGAGTTTATCCTGGCCTCTCTTCTCCCTATCTGTTATTGCTTATTATTATTTTAATTTTCTTTGATTTTCTCTCTTTCGCTTCTTTTTTCCTCTTCTACCTGATGTTGTTTACAATACCTTTTTCGGAATTTTCAGCCACTATTTGTTCATTTGTAATCAGAACATGCATACATACAGACACACAGACAGAGAG